AAAAAAAAAAAAAAAAAAAACTGTGAAAAACCTACAGCTAAGATCATCCTTAATTATGAAGTACTGAATGCTTCTCCCCTAAAATCAGAGACAAAGCAAGGATGTCCACTCTAATCCTTTGTATTCAACATATTCTAGCAAGTGAAAAAAAGCAAGAAAAACAAAGGCATCCAGATATCCAGTAAAACTGTCTTCATTTATAGATGACATGAACATCTATATAAAGAAACTAAGGAGTCTGTTAAAAAACCACCAGAACTAAGATTAAATTTAACAACATGGCAGGATACAAGATCAATATACAAAAATCAATGGAATATTATGAATACTAGAAACAAAAATTTAGAAATGGAAATTTTATTAAAGTGCTGTTTATAATTGCATAAAGATAAAATACTTAGAGATTGATGGAAAAAATTTTAAAAGGTCTATATATATTCTAAAAACAGTGAAACATTGCTGAGAGAAATTCAAGAAGACCTAAATAAATGGGAAATAAAATAGATTGTGTTCAAGACTGGAACACTCAATTTTGTTAAGCTATCAATTCCCCTTAAATTGATTTATGGATTCAACCCAATCCAAATAAAAATCTGAGCAGGATTTTTTTTTTAAACATTGAAAATTTGATCTCTAAAACTCACATGAAAATGCAAAGGAACTAGGATAGCCAAACAACTTTTAAAATGAAGACCAAAGTTAGAGGACTAACAGGACCTAATCTCAAAACTTATAAAGCTACAGTCATCAAGACAACAACTCCATAAGAATAGAAATGCAGCGATAGTACACTATGTGATAGTGCTATGAATATTATTTCTGTGCTCATGATATTGTAAGTAAGTGTTAGAGGATGTAAAAATGGAAGTTTTGGATGAGACCCCAGACTGGTTTTTGTTTTGTTTTATTTTGCTTTGTTATTTAACAGATGTGCAGAAGACAACTTATGCAGGATTTGGAAACAAATGAAAACAGAAGAGATGAGGGAAACTAGTTTTATGACTTTTAATCCCAGCCTACATCTATGGCATAAATAGGTCAGAAGATGGAGATTAAAAAGGATTTTTAGAAAAATGTTTGGAGAGAGTGTGGAGGAGGCAGGATGTGTTGTGATCTTTCCATTTCATGCCAAATTAAGAGAGAAAGCCTTTTAAATGAGTCCTCAGCGAGCTTAAGATATATTCTCTGGGGACTTAAGAACAGAAAGCGTAGATGGAGAAAGAGAAAAAGCCAAATACAACCTCTTCCCTGACACCAGTGTTCCCACTGCAACAGGCCAGAGCTTGGGGAGGAGTGAAAGCCAAGCATTAAATCAAGATTATAGCTTAGACTATGACCTGGGTCTTAGCATTCTGACTACTGCACGAGCCTGCACTTACACACTCAAGTGACTGGAGAACTATGTGACCCAAAAGTAGTCAGAAAAGTCATGGAGCCTGCTAATATTTTCATCCATAAGTAGGCAATTTAAAATAACAGCAGGGAAAAAAGGGAAGGAGGGCATTTTAAGAGTCCCATATGGTGGAAGTGATGGTTACACAATGAATATTTAACAAAAATATTGATTATAAGTAAATTGGAAGGGTGAAGGGAGGGAGAAGTATATGGAAGACCAAGGGTTAGGAAGCTAAGCCCTTACTTTCCATATCAGGAAATCAATCCATTTATCCAAAACCGAAAAATCAAGAAATAGTAAAAAACGAGCACAATGAAGTTAAGGACCAAATAAATACATAAAAGATTTTAAAGTGTTTCCTCTGAGAGCAGAAAATAAGCACTGGGAGAGGAGCTGAAGGGGAAACTGCCATTTCTCACCAAAAAAAAGCTTGCACCATGTTCTTTTAAACTATATACACATATATTCTAATAATTCTTAGTTTTAATAACGAGAAAATTCATGGGTCCTGCCCATGTTTTCATACAGAGATAGAGGTAACTACGTTTGCCTTTTTAAAACCACATACACATATTACCATTTTCTTTTTAAACTACATACACTTATTACTCTGACAATTTTTGTTTTTAAATGAAAAAAAGAAACCTTTAAGGATAGCAATAGGGTTGGAAGAAAATTCAGACTGTGCAGCTTATATGAGCAATGTGTGTTTGAAAGGGCAACTGGACATCCATAGGCAAAATAAATTAATCTCAACTTAAGTCTCACATTTATACAAAAATTAACTCAAAGTGGATCATGAACTTAAGAAAAAATACAGGAGAGGCCAGGCACAGTAGCTCATACCTGCAATCCCAGCACTTTGGGAGGCCAAGGCAGCCAGATCATTTGAGGTCAGGAGTTCGAGACCAGCCTGGCCAAAATGGAGAAACTATCTCTATTAAAAATACAAAAATTCGCCGGGTATTGTGGTGTGCACCTATAGTCCCAGCTACTCGGGAGACTGAGGCAGGAGAATCGCTTGAACACAGGAAGCGAAGGTTGCAGTGAGCCAAGATTGCACAACTCTACTCCAGCCAGGGCTATAAAAAGAGAGTCTGTCATAAGTGAATGAATGAATGAAAATCTTTAGGATTTAGGGCTAGGCAAAGAATTCCTAGACTTCACACAATCTATTAAAGTAAAACTGAATACACTGAACTTCATAAGAATTAAAAATTTTGATCTGTGAAAGACCTTGTTAAGAGGATAAAAAGATAAGCTACAGAGAGAATATATTTACAAATCACATGTATGTGAAAGAACTTATATTTAGAATAAATCAAGAATTCTTAAGGCTCAATGGTAAAAACCTAAACAATCCAATTAGAAACTGGACAAAAGACATGAAGAAACATTTCACCAAAGAGGATACACAGATGGCAAATATACACATGAAAAGATATTCAACATCATTAGTCAGTAAGGAAATGCAAATTAAACCCACAGTAAGATTCGCTACACACCTATCAAAGCGGCTAAAATAAAAAATAGTGACACCACCAAATGCTGGCAGGGATTTGGATCACTAATACACGCTGGTGGGAATGTGAAACAGTAGCACAACTCTGAAAGATAGTTTGGGAGTTCTGTTCATTTACAAAAATAAATCCTTGTAATAAAGATCTAAATATTAAGAAAAGATTATTCAAAGTAGTAGAAAATTGTAAAAGAATAACTTTGGGGATAGGGAGACTTTTCACAACAGGGCACAAAATGTAAAAGTCATAAGCAAAAGATAGATACATTTGACCACATCAAAATAAAAGCTTCTGTATACTCAAAGCAAAACTAAACAAAGCAAACAATAGCAAAAGCAACAAAGAAACAACGCACTCTATAAGCAAAGTTTAAAGATAAATGACAAACTAGGAAAAAAATTATTAATATTCTCATATGGAAAGAACTCCTAGAAAACGATAAGACAAAGCAAACTACCCCCCAAAAACCACAAATAAATGACATAAACAGACAATTCTGACACAAGGAAATACAAATTAAAATACAGAAAAGAAAGTTCACCCTCACTAAGAATCATGGAAATGCAAATTAAGACTGGATATCACTTTTTTCCCATGAGTGCTTCGCAGAAATGGAAGTCTACTGGCATGTGTGTGCACAAGCAGGTGTTCTTACTTTAATAGTAGTGTAGCCAGCACAGTGGATAAAGGACAGTCACTGTAGCAACTAGCTGGAAACAACCTTAATGTCCACCAACAGGGAAATGGTATAATGGAAAACTCTGAAGCTGTTAAAAATAGTGGGATAGATCTATATACATGATATGGAAATAACTCCAAGAAATTGATACATTTTTAAAAAGCAAACTGCAAAACAATATGCCTAGTACGATCTTGCATTTAAAAAACAGAAAAAAGGCTAGGTACAGTGGCTCATGCCTGTAATCCCAGTACTTCAGAAGGCCGATGTGGAAGGATTGCTTGAGCCCAGGAATTGCAGACCAGCCTGGGCAACAAAGTGACACCTTGTCTCTACAAATAATTTAAAAATTAGCCTGGCATGGTCACATGCACCTGTAGTTCCAGCTACAGGGGAGGCTGAGGCAGGAGGACTGCTTGAGGCCAAGAGGTCAAGGCTGCACTAAGCCATGTTTGTGCCATTGCACTACAGCCTGGGTGACAGAGCAAGGCCTTGTCTCAAAAAAGAAAAAAAATAAAAAGCAGAAAAAAAATCTAAAATGTTGTGTTTATGTGTATATCTATGTACATTAATAGATATGATAATAGTTAGTCCAAATTTTTAACAGTGGCTACATCTAGGAAGGGAACCGGGATGGAGTGGGTGATCACAAGAGATTATAGAATGACTTCTACCATTAAACTTTTTTATTTTACAAAAAACATATTTGTGTCACTTGTTTAATAAAAAAATAATGATGCAGCACTTAAGACAGTATCTCGCATAAAGCAATTGCTCAAAAATGCTAATTTCAACTTAAAGAAAATGTTTTCAGAGTTAAAAAATTAAATATAAAGGATGATGTAGCAATAATGCTTCTATGGCCTGGTTCTGAATGCCATATTATACAAGTGATAGAATTCTTCCCCAGGGAACAGAAAAAGGGGGTACTTTTGGGGGAAAGGGGATTTACCAAACAACCAAAGAAAGACATCCAGGGTCTGTGTGTATTCACTGACCCGGGAACAAGCGGTAAATCAGTGTTTCTAGAAGTGCTTTACTAAAGGCACACTCAGCAACTTACCTGTCGTCTTTGCGACAGAGGTGGTGGAGACACCATTGAGCTCACTAGAACTCCTTTTCACGGGCCTTGGCTTGTATTCTCGTCTGGGAACACTGGATGCAGCTGATATTCTGTAACACACACCATAAGATGAGACAGACATCTAATGTGGAAAGCTTTCCAAACACACCTTCTCTCTGCCTTGATGAGCATAGGAACTTAAGTTACAGCCAGTGGTCATGAAGGGCACAATTTTTACACACTGACTCTTGAGTAGCCCAAAGTTGTGGAGGTGTTATCACAAATATAGCTTGTCAACTCTCTATTTAAGCTTGTGAGTGAAATTCATACTGAGGAAGACTAATTGGGCCAGGCATGGTGGCTCATTCCTGTAATCCCAGCACTCCGGGAAGCTAAGGTGGGCAGATCACCTGAGGTCAGGAGTTCAACACCAACCTGGCCAACATAGTGAAACCTCATCTCTACTAAAAATACAAAAATTAGCCAGGTATGGTGGCAAGCGTGTGTAATCCCAGCTACTTGGGAGGCTGAGGCAGGAGAATCACATGAACCTGGGAGATGGGGGTTGCAGTGAGCTGAGATTGCACTACTGCACTCCAGCCTGGTCAACAGAGTGAGACTCCAACTCAAAAAAAAAAAAAAGGCTAATTGTCTTCATCAAGTCTCTGAGGCATCCGGCAAGTGCTGGGACGTGGTCAGCAACTAGTGATGAGAGCTGCCTTTTCCCTCACTCTGCTCTTATAGATTACGATAGAATGATGAAAATACACTCCTGTGAGTAACAGATGAACTATCTGCCTGCAGAAGTGGACGCTTCTGGATCTGAACACATCTTTGTCTTCCCTATGTAATTATATCATTGATTTAAGTAAAAATTCCTCCAAATTTACGCATTACCATAATCATGTACAAAACAATTTTCTGTTATCAAACCTGGTTAAAAAAATCGGGTATTTTTACCCCAATATTTTAATAAATAGAGTTGCCATGCATACTATATATGATATTACTAATTTTCAGAAATGTATAGACTACATCTATGATTAAAGTCACAAGGAACACAGAAATCTTTCTTTAATTGTTCAGAAGATACTTCTGACACTTTCAATACCTGTCAATATTATGAACACAGCCTGAAATTCATACTGGTGAAGTGAAAACATATCTTTTTTTAACAGATATTTACATATTTTCCATACATCATCTCACTTTTTTCCATAGCTCTAGATGTTTTCTATCCCTTTGTAAATGGGGAGCTAAACTCTCATCAAATTAGCAGTGAAGCCAGGATAGTTTTAGAGGGGTTGATGTCCAAGGATGGGGAGCAACTTGGTTAGTTGCCCTAAACACAGGTTACAATAAAAGGGATTTAATGAAAATAAAAAAGAGAAAAGCTGCCAGATCCCTCTTCCCAGTTCTATCCTATTGGCCAAAGCCAGTACTTATTAACGCAGTCCCATCCACACCCAACCATGAAAGCCAGTGAAAGAAAATTCAAAACAGAATGAGGCAGGGCAAGGGGCAGATGGAGAGATGGAGAGACAGACACACAGACAGAGAGACAGATGGATGGATTTCAGTAGATGTCACCTCCATAGCCCTTGGCTGGTAAGAAACATGGAGGCGCTTACCGCATCTGTAGCTTGCTCTGCAGCTCCTGCAGAATCTCTGTGGACTGTTTGTGATAGTCTAATGCAGCCTCTATGAACACGGCCAACTGGCTGACTTGTTCTACCTGCAGCAGAAGTGGAAAATTACTCCATGGAGGCCAGAGTCTGTATAACATCCAGAGAGAGAGGAGACCAGCAACAAAGACCCAGCTTGGCAGGGAAGGCCAGCGTCTGCCTCGGCTCTGGTCCATTTCATTTAATTTCATCTAGGAGCTCTGTATAGTAATCACACAGGTCATGGTATGGAGCTATACATGCTGGAAAAACATGTTCAAATTATTTGTGATTTTGAATTTAACTCAGTAAAAATGCCTGTTTTTCCAATTAGATGATGACTTTTCTCAGATTTTCTATGCTATAAAGTTCATGGATCTGAAAACAGAGATATAAAGTTCTTCCAGTTATAAATGAAGCCAACGTTTAGCAAAGGAACTGCGTACTTAGTGAAGTGTTTCTACCTGCACTTTCTAGCTAAGCCAAATCAAGATATTAAGTAAATTAAACAGTTAAGTACAGTAAATTAAACAGATAAGAAAGGGGGCGGTGAGCAACATGTGCCCCTGGGCCAAGACTTTCCTGTCCCCTATATGCTTTTTGTTGCTATTCACTCAACGTAATTTCTCTGAAACATAGAGCTAAAGGGAATGAACTATAAAGACACTGGCATCTCTGCTTCCCACAAATCAAGACATTCATGAAATTAGTGACCAATTTACAATGAATTTTTTTAAGCTGGGTCTTATAAGAAAAGCCTGTATGATATGGGGCTGTATAATTTGAGGAAGAGCAAACCAAGGAAGGCCTGAGAGCTTTCCTGAACCCCTACATAACCGAGGGGCTCCTACAGGAAAGAGATTAAGCTTAATTCTGGAAGCCCCAGAGGCAAGCCTCAGAGGGCTGAAGTGACAGGTCTCCCCCAGCATGAATCCAATCAATTCTAGAGCTGGACAGAGACATAAAATCAATCCTACCCTTCCCAGGCTTCCCCAATGCCTATGCGTCATTTCCACACTTCATTTTTACTCAGCTTTAGAGCAAAGTCTGCTTGCTTATTCATTTACACAGTCTCACCCTGCCTAACCAACCATGGATTTGTCAGCCTTCAAAGATCCAAGCTACTTTCATTTGTAGTTGCAAATCATTCCTTAGTTGTCTGTACTTAAATTTTTCTTACCCACTTACGCTATTTTAAACACAGCTCAATATGCATGTAAGATATACATGGAATTCCATGTGTGCCAAGCTGTGATCAGCATCTGAACAATGAAATCCTGTCGGGTTTCATTTACTTTACCAAGCTCTGTGGCTGGAAAAGCAACAAGCCTAGCCTTAAATTTCCAAAAACCCAATAAACAAAACAAAGACAGCCTGGCCCCTACCAAATCCTAGGACTTCTTAAATTTCACCTTTGGCTTTTACACGTACTTTTAAGTAAGTCCAGCGCCATGGCCTAGCACAATCATAGTAGAATTTGCTATAGAAATAACTTTTCTTCCTTATAGAGCTAGAATGGTGTGCTTGGTAAAATCTATGCCACGCCTCTCTGCCTTTAGTAAAATTTATTTGTCCTATCTTATAACCCACTTTTTAAAATGCCTACGTTTTATAATTTTTAAAGAAATAGTGAAAGCTAAATGAATATTTCTTGAAACATATTCCAGATTGGGGAACTGGAAGGGGCTGAGGGGGATTACAAGCTATCCTCTCTGCTGTGGCTAAAAAACAAGCTGATGTAATTTAGAGACGCATTTGTAACTGCTCATTGGGTGGCTGACTTTGGGAAGGAAATGAATCCTGAAAACCCTTAAACCTTGGGAGACAACGGCAGCACTGCCCAATGCCTGCACCTAGTAGGTGTTCAGGACAAGTCCTGAAGGGGTGGTTACTAGGCTATAAGTCTCTCTTGTTGACAGTGGAGACCAGGCCATGAGTAGATCATTTTCCTCTTGATTCCAGAAAATGTAAGCTTCCAGCTGTCCCCCAGGTCCTGAGCATTGAGCTGTGTGCTGGGGACCATGGGGACCAACAGAGTTGGACTCAGCCTCCCAAACCACAACTAGAAATAAATACCTAGACAGGCAGAACCAAGATAAAGCAACAAACTCAGGCCTAGCAAGAGCCAAAACCTGACCAGAAGGTAAACATTTCTTCCATTGTTGCAATTTTAACAGTCCATCTGTTGAATCAGAGAATGTCACCTGGGATAGAGAGAAAGGCTTAATTCCACTTCTGGGTTGAGACCTAGGCTGCCACTTTGCTGGTGCCACCTTGAGAGCAAAGTGTGACCTCACCCATGGAAATGTTCATATGATATATGCCAAGGAACTGGATTTCCAGAGAATCCACTCCCTTTTCTGAAAGTGAAGCACACTAGCCACTACAGATGGGCTCACACTCAGCTGATGCTTGAAGTGAGAAACTCATCATGCAAGCAGACTTCCATGTAAGTTAGAGGTCAAGGAGGCACAGGCCTTGGTGGATGACAAATGCATGGAGTGAGGGCTGTGAAGCTACCTGGGAGAGTCAGGGAATCATAACCAGAGAGGGCTGAGGTAGACAGAATCACGGAGCCTGCAAAGATGTCCAAGTCTTAATTCCCCAAACCTGCAAATACATTATTTTACATAGCAAAAGGGACTTTGCAGTTATGATTAAGTATCTTAAAATGAGATTATTTTGGAATGTCTGAATGGCTCAACATAATCACAATGTCCTTTAAGAGGGAGACAGGAGTGCCAACATCAGACAAGATGTGACAATGGAAACAGAGGTCAGAATATGTGAAGATGCTATGCTGCTGGCTGTGAAGAGGGAGGAAGCAAAGAATGAGCCAAGAAATGCAGGTGGCCTGTAGAAGCTGGAAAAGGCAAAGAAGCAGCTTCTTCCTCTGAAGCCTCCAGAATGAACGTGGCCCTGCCCGTACCTTGATTTTAGGACTCTAGGCTGGAAGACGGTAGATGTGTGTTGCTTTAAGCTACACTGTTTGTGGTCATTTGTTATGGCTCCAATAGGAAACTGATACAGAGCTGCTTTAGCCCATCCTCTAACCATGCAAAAACCTAACAATGAGATTAGTGCTGGCCAGGGTCCCCCATTGATGGCGACGGGAGCTGTTGCCTGGAGACACATAGGAACAAAGCTCATGGGGCAATGAGCCCATGTAGCTGGGCCTGGGGACTTCATTGCTGACTTGGCTGTACCCCAGGGCCCCTCACTCTCTTCTGAGGGGTAACACCAAAACAGGAATGAACTCAGTTTCTCTCCCATGACAGACTGCGCACAATGCACAATCCACAAGTGACACACGAGTGTCACCTGTGGATGCATTTCATTCCAAACCTCTCTTTAGCTGAAAACTAATGGAGGATTAGCAGCATATGAGGCCATGGGAGTACCTTGATCCTGGGGATGGAAACAGAGAATAGATGTCTCCAACTATAGTGGACTAAGGATACTAGAAGTTTCTAAGAGTTGTGGAAACCCCATGGACTCTTGCATAAGATCTGAGCCATTAGCCCGGCCTTGGGGGCCAACTGCAAAGGACTCAGGCTGTACCCAAAGGAAGAATGGCTCAAAGGACTGCATATTGTAACAAAGGCTGTCTTAGGTCAACTCTCCAAGAGGACTGTGGAAACTGGTAGCTGAGAAGCAGGTCTGGAAACCTTCCTCCTCTGACCCTTTAGCAATCACTTACCAGGGGACTTGGTGAGCAGCCGGGTAAGTAAGCAGGGAGTGGCACACCCTGAAGCCCATGGCGAGGACAGGAGGAGAACTGGGATGTGAGCAGCTGACGCCTGTCCAGACCTGGGGTCTGCAAGTGTGTTTGGCATGCATGAATAAAGAAATGTACATCTTCGAAAGATGGCAAGCCATTCTCTTTCACAGCTGAAAAGGTGCATTTCCAATAGAGGTCATCTTCAATTTACATTGTGATACGACCAGTGATTTCTTGCTCTATCATATCAAAGACCTCCACTCTTTTTGGATTCCTCAGAGAAGCTATGGAAAATTTCTCATGAATTTTGCAGTCTGGTCATAAACAGATGCCTTTTCCAATGAGGCAAAAGCCTTTATTCAGAGTTTCTGAGAAAGTTTGAGTAAGGCAATTAAATTAATAACATGGATAATAATCCCTTATATTTTTATTCTCTACTTTATCCTTCTAAAGAATTTCTCAAATGCAGTTGCTAATTTGCCTGATACCAGTCAGGTGACATGATTTTTCCAGAGGCTTAGCAGAAGCAAAACCAGAAACAGAATTCAGTTATTTCACTCCGTGCTGGGTATGCTTTCCACGAGTTAGTATTTCCAAATGCGTCTTATTCCACATATTACACTCCCTGAAACATTAGTAATAATATAATAATGTGATGGAATTCTGTGGTCAAATACATTTGGTAAACTGCCAACTGTATTTTCTCTTAGGAACTGCTTAGAGATTAATCTTTCATACTATCAAATAAAGACTCTGAAAAGTTTTGTGATAAAGAAAACTGTTTCATTTTATTTAACCCAGGGTGTCCCAAACTTATTTGACCACAGAGACATTATTAATGCAAAACACACTTAACATCCCAAGGAATGGATTTTGGAAAATGCTACTCTAGACCAAGGGAAAGACCCCAAGAATCTGGAATCTAGTAATTCCACTGGTCTTGGGAACCCATGGATGGAGGGAGGATCCCATAGCTGGGGAATGTATCCTGAGAGCGCCAGTACTGCAGATACCTGGGCTCACTGGACTGAAATAGGCATCTTCTATGGAATATCTCTGATTTCTGCTAATGTCAAAGACCTACATTTGCTAATGGTAAGTTGTGAGGAACAAACTCTGCAAAGACAGAAGAGGGGACAGTGTGTTAACAAGCCTATGGGTGATATGCTGTTCCCGAGAAATGACAATGAAGGCTGGGAACCAGTCTCCTGACTTTCCCACACTTTTCTCCAAGAGGAGGGCTGCCCTGGGTACCTCTCAGAACCCTGCCAGGCCCAGCCTGGCCTGACAAGAAATCAGTCACGGGGCTGCCCCTCTTGGATCCCTGGAAAGTTGGAGAACCAAAAGACCTCCTGGCTTGCATCACTGTCTATCGAATAACGACGCTGCTCAGCCTCAGACAAGATGTGAAAAGATGCTCAATGTCTCCATTCCAGCTCCTACTCACAAGACAACCAAAGGCTACAGTGTGGGGCCAAAGCAGACTCTTCTTTGTTCTCCCATTCCCAGTTCTGCCAAAAGCAGATGAGAAAATAGATATAACTTCTACCCAGGAATGTTAGAGTGAGCACGTCATGTCTCTCTACCTCCCCTTCCTGTGGTATCTGTCTAACTGATGAGATTGCGGTGTTGGCACCCACTTGGCCCTAATAACCAGGGTGTCTGGACACTGAGATGAAAGGCAGTAGGGACCTGGCTCCGGGCTCTGGATTTCTCAAGAAAGTGGGTTTGTGAAGTGGCCACAAGATCGTGTGTCATCTGGCTTCGTGGTCCTGCATCTACTCTCCCTCCAGGAGCTCAGGCCTTGTGGGCCAATTGCGAAGATCCAAGGTCTAGACTTGAGGCCAGGAATAGCTCACTGCACTTCTATCGTGGGCCCAGGCCCAAGCTCTCCCTTCCAACATGGCTTCCTAGAGAGTCCTGCTCTCTGGGTAAGGGGCTGGCATGTGATCCTGTGTGGCTCCCCCAGTTTGTTTCTCTGCTGGGAGAATGCAGAGGTGAGGCCAGATGAATGATCACACCCTGGAAACCCCTGCAAATGGCCTGTTGGCCAGAAAACCCTAGGAAGTATTGTGTCTGGAGACCCAGGAGAGACCAAGTCTGTGAATCCAGTCAGGGTTCTCCTCACATCAGTCAGAGCATTGGCAATCAATTTCTTCTGAGGCATTCCCTGGTGAAGCTTTTACTGTGTCTTAGCCAGAACAAGACATGAGGGCTGGAGGAGGCACCAGCTCTTCCCCCAGAGTGAGATTTTGGTCTCTGAATTGTCAGTGCCAGACAGAAATGGGCAGGTAGCACCAGAGCACCAAGCACACCCATCGCAGAGGGTTTCCCGTCATTCACCTTTCTCTGCTTATTCGCTTTCTCTTTGGAGCAAATGCTTCTAAGTCCTCTCTCCAGCCCCATTCTCCTCCCGTAGATGAGGCTGGGGGTACTCCCAAGTTAGTAGGATGGGTTGCTCTGCTGCAGTCACTGGCTTTGCAGGGTTGGGGCTGGCAAGGCTTCCCCTCACCCAGTTTCAACATCTCAGGCTGTGTCTGGGTGGTGAGGCAGGCTGGCTCTCCATTAGAGCTGGCTGTCATCCACCAAAGGAGCAAGAAGGAGAAAGTACCATCAGGACTTTAGGCCCAGGCCATGTCCTTCAGCACAGTGGACCAGAAGTTCTGTATTTTACAATTTTCAGGTGTTCTCATCAGTTAAGGAGCTGTCCCTTGATTCCAATCTGGCTTTTGTGTCACTTCCTCCATTGGTCAGAACCCAAAGGGTGAATGGCCGTGACTGACATCCCAAAACTTCCCACCACAGTAACACAAGCATGTCCCACTTGTGTCTGGAGGATGCATCAGGGCCTCCACTGCCTGCTACCAGGCTTTCCTTGTAGCCACTCATTTGACAGTTTCTGTACCTTGTCTCCAGCGGGTACCAGATCAGGTGGAAGCACCGTCCAATCCATCAGGCAGCAGCAGCCGAAGACCCACTGTGTTTGACATGGTAATTAGAACAGGTCCCAGCCATCTTTAGTTTCTGCCAGGAAATCCAGCCCTCCCCAGCTATCCTGAAGCACAGCTTGTCATGCAGGGCTTCCCCACCAGGAAAGGAAGCAACATAGCAACAAGAGGTTGAGGGACCAAGGTTGGACATGTAGGTGGTGACTCAGAGGGGGCAGGAACCAGAGTCCCATGGGCTGCAGGACCACCAGCTCTGGCCTGGTTGTTGGAGATGGGCCAAACACAGGGCCAAGGGTTCAACGTATGCCCCATCCACCATGTACTGGCATTTTTTCTTTATCCAAACAAGTCACATTCTCTGTTTGTCCCCATGCACCAGGCAGTATCAGCATTGGCATGCCAGGTCCAAGGAGTGACCCAGAGTAGATTTTTCTCTACCTTGCCTGGTCAACAGGAGAGGACGTTCAGACCACCTAGCTATGGCACAGACACACTGACATGGAAAAGGATGAGGTGCTGCCCTCTGATCTAACTGGTGTTGATCCCAAGCAGAGTGAAGATGGGCTTCTGAAGCCTACATAATTATTTCTGAGTCTCCTCAGCTATTAACCTGGGTAGGAGAAAAGGTAAACGCAAGTGCGCCATGATAGGGACCATCAACGGCACCCCCTCAGCCCCATTATCATGGGGCGGCAGTGAATGGTAGCTCTTGTCACTGCCATCATCACCACCACTGTCTTTATCACTATCACCACCATTACTACAAGAACCAGCAGCCACAGCACACCTAGTAGCCACTGCAGCTTCACACAGCAGGAGAGACAGGGGAGGGAGGAAGGGAAGAACCTAGTTCCCAGGCAGCCTGGGCAGCCCCCCTCTGTTTCATAACATTGGTCTCCTCCCACCTCAATAGCAGAAGTAGAAGCCAGAGAACCCCTCCCTGTGAAGGTAAAGACCCCAGGATCCAGGCTGAGGAAGCAGCCTCGACTCCCCAGAGCTGAACAGGGGAAACCTCCACTCACCCACAGGTCAGCTTCCCATGGGAAGCCTTGGAGAAAACACTGCCACCAGGTGGGGCAAGGCCGGCACCAGGGTCCCTGAGGAGACTGGGCTAGGAACCAGCTCTTCCTTCTGCCGGCACAGGGTGGGAGGGCTTAGCCCATTTGTGACAGGCAAAATACATTTCACTGTCAAAACATGGACAAATGACTGAGCTTTTATAATGAAGGGATCCTTTTTGACTTTTGACTGATACTAAGGGGAAAGCTGAGGTCTTCTGGGTCAACTGCAAGGCTGGCATGGCTGAGACAGGCTACCCTCACGAGCACTTTGCAAAAACTCATCATCATGGTTCCCCCATGAAGGTAATGAATGGAACAAATGGGTCAGATGGCACATCTGACACACAAGACACAATCTCAGAGTTTAAACCACGAATGGGCCCAGAGCCAGCAGGGCCCCACAAGGAGTATCTGATACATGTCACACTTCAAATACATTTTCTAAAGACTTCAAAACAATATGGCAATCTGAAACAAAACAAAATGGCTGTTGCTTAGGGACAATTTCAAGAGAAAATTTATATATTTAAAGAAAAACAGAGATACCAAACTGCCACACCTCCTCCTACTTCTCAAAAAAAAGTAAAAAAAAAAAAAAAAATTTAAAAGGAATAATATAGTAGAATGTACTTTTCAGGCCTCAGCGGTTTAATGAGCATGGGAAATTTCAAATTGGCATTTCCAGTTGGGAGAATAAATTCTCTGGGATGAATGTCTTGTCACTATTGGACATAATCCCTTCACACATCCACACATCGCCACAGTAAATAAACGGTGGTCAATACATTTTGTTTGGCTTCACTCAAAAGATGTAAGCCTTCAGTGTACCCTTGAATCAACTGTTATAATTACAGCATGGTCTTGAGGATAAATAAACCTCCTGACTTGTTCCCACAGGTTTAAAAGCTTAACAATTAGGACCCAAGCTAATGCTGGTGCTGAGACGGCTCCTGGCATCGCTGAGCCCAGGCTGAAGCACAGGCTAAGGAGGGAGGCAGATGGTCGACACCTCTTTCACTCAGGCAGTCATGGTGCCAATGGCCCCTTCAACTCAAGGCCGAGCAGGGAGGCTGCCCCCACTTGTGTGTTGCCTGGCCAAGAGTCACCGGGCCTCCTTAATTCCATTTCACTTGACTTTACTTAAACAAATAGAAGACTGACATTTCTGAGGGATAAGACCTGAGACCTTCACAATTCCCAGGCCCACAAGCACCGCTATGGAACAGCTGAAAAATTTAGGTCCTGCTTTTGTGTCTTGAATGTGCGCTATGACAGGTAAAGGCGTCAGAGAGCTGGGGATGACAGCTGCTCTCCCTTAAACATCTCCCTTGCCGACTGCTTTTCAGTCTTAGCAAAATGGCAAATTACCACATGACCTGGACTTTCCATTCTCCTGTGAAACCACAAATGCTATGGTCTCACATTCAAAAGCCAGTCTACTTCGCAATCTTCAGAGACAACCTCTGAAGCAATCCTGGGATAAATAGGACTCCTCAAGATTTAAGATATGAGTCAGGGGCTGGGTGTAGTGGCTCATGCCTATAATCCCAGCACTTTTGAGGCTGCGGCGGGTAGATGGCTTGAACCCAAGAGTTCATGACCAGCCTGGGCAGCAGGGTGAAACCCCCATCTTGACAAAAAATTATCCTGGTTTGGTGGCATGCGTGTGGTCCCAGCTACTCAGGAGGCTGAGGTAGGAGGATCGCTTGAGCCTGTGAGGTCAAGGCTGCAGTGAGTCACAATCACACCACTGCACTCCAGCCTGGGCAACAGAGTGAGACTCTGCCTCCAAAAAAAGATGTGAGCAAGGCTTGCTGGATGTCTGAAATAATCTCTGGTAGGAGAAAGGAGATAATTCTGGAAACTTGCATAGCAACCAAGGCTTTAGAGCAAGTTTGTCCAACCTGTGGCCCACAGGCCGCATGTGGCCCAGGACAGCTTTGAATGTTGCCCAACACAAATATGTAAACTTTCTTAAAAACAGTATGAGAGTTTTTTGGAATTTTTTAAAGCTCATTAGCTATTGTTAGTGTATTTTATGTCTGGCCCAAGACAATTCTTCTTCCAAAATGGCCCAGGGAAACCAAAAGATTGGACACCTCTGCTTTAGAGCTTTTCAACATGCGCAGATCATAGTCATACAGTCAATGTTTTATTCATTTACATTAATGTCTCCTGTTTGATTTAAATACTTACATCATTTTCTAAAAAATTAAACATGCTTCTTTCAGCCAACTCCTTTGACTCTTCAAATTTTTCTACCGCTTGTCTGACTTCTTCGTCTGGTATCTTACCTACTCTTTTCTTTTTATAATCGTAATCCAGGCGGCGGCCTTCCAGCTTTTTCAGGTGGTGCTAAAGAAAGAGAAAGGAGTCCCTCAGAGAGGCACTACATCCAAAACCCGGCACAAAAAATTACTTCTATGGAAGTGGTCATTGCTTTTTCTCAGCCTAGATTCTAGAGGGCAGAAGCCCACCTTACACTGCTGTTGGGAGCACCCCAGCAGCTGATGGAGGCTCCCCTCACTTCAGGTGCTCAAAGAATATTTGTGGAATGAAGGAATGAATGGACAGATCAGTGATAGAATGAGTGTCTGTATGGCACATAAAGATGCTCAGATCCATGCTCAGATATTATTTTCCAGCGTTCTTTATACGATCCCTCACTTCAGACTTCTTCATGTCCAGGTAATTTCTAACCAGGTTAGCCAAGCAAAACAAAGTAGGAACATTTATTCTGGCACTATTGTCAAGTCCTGACTAAGTAGTAAGAAGACTATAAAAACACAAATTTCTACTGTCCCTTAGAATATAAATCGATCTCCATAAAGTTCCCAAACAATCATGAAATAAGTTGCATAAAACACTGTTAATGAATACAAAGGAGAGATATTACTCACATATGACCTCTGAGGTGGTAAAATTTCTAAACAATATTATAACCCCTTTAACAAAATATAACAGAACTGTCCACTCACGGAACAGGCTGCCTTGTGTAGCAGTAGGTTTCCCATCAGAGTTTGTGTCCAAGCAGAGACCCCATGAGAAACAGTATAGAGGGGTATAGCTATACAGGACAAGGGAGGGAGAGTTTATGGCTGTAATCCTCATAAATCAGATACTTGACATCTAAAGTGTATGTGGAAACTGATCATCCCACTGAAGCACAGAGATAACTTGCACTATTCATTTTAGCAGGAAGCACTGATTCTAATTTCCATGACTCGGTGAAGAGCACACGGGACCCAAAGAGTAAGAAGCATCTCTCTCCTATGCTCTGTGACTTTGGGCTGGTCCCTAATCCCTCTGTACCTCTACACAAACATCTGAAAGTCAGCCATGTGTCAAATAAACAGGCTCCCAACCCCTGATTTCTGAGGGACACAGGGCAGAGCTGAGACTGTGAAAGGCTTCCTAAACCTTGGACTCTTCGCTTTCCATCATCCACATAATTTAAGTTTAGATGTACAGTTCTACATCAAACAGCAGCTGAGTAACAAGATGGCATTTAGAAAATTATTTTGTTGCATAGGGAACTGCAACATTCCAGTATAAGTATATTATACACATTTCACCCACTTACTACTCAGGACCACATATGTGTCTGTGGCTGGCCAGGTGAAGGAGCAGTGCTGACTTTTCTTATGACCTTCCTCCATGATGACAGCACAAGAAATGAAACTTGCTAGATGTCAGCAAAGGAGACATTTGGGGGAGATGTTTTGGCATCCCCAGAACCCAGACTATCACTTCTAGGATCAGCCATTCAAAAATAATTTATAAAAACATCTCCTATACCCCACCAACATATACACCTACGACATACCCACAAAAATTAAAATTAAAATAGTGTGTAAGCACAAACCACGTGGCAGGCTTGTGGTTACATCAATGAACAAACCCCAATGCCTCACCCCAAGGAATGGGCCGCCCAACATGAGCAAAAAGTAAGCAAGAGTGCTCATGGTGCAGGGGGCACAGAAGGGACACCCCATGGAGTCTAGGAAAAGAACAAACAGCTTCCCAAAAGAAAGCATATCTGGGCTGGGGAGTGAGGTGACTCGGCCAGGAGAAGGGGTGAAAGGACAAAGACCGCTCTTGACCACTGGCATCACATCGCACTCCCTCCTGTCCATTCTCCAGCCCACAGCTAGGGCGCCCTTCCTGATCTGCAAACCGTCCTGGCTGCCCACAGGCAGTGGAGTGAAGATGCAGCCCCTCAGCCCTTCACGGCCTGACCCCTCCTTTCCTCTGTGGCCTTATTGCTACCCCTTCAGCACATGAACTCCACCCAGCCTCACTGAATTATTTCCAGCTCCCTGGTGACGCTTTGCTTTGTGCTTTCTCCCTATTTGCACACCCCAGACTCCCAGTCTGGAAAGGATGGACTGGAACAGTGGTTTTTGAACATTAGCATGGCTCCGAATCACCTGGAGGACTTTATAAAACACAGACTTGCTGGGCTTCACCCTCAAGATTTCTGATTCAGGAGGTAAGGGATGGGGCCCAAGAATTTGCATTTTTCACAAGTGATGTTGATGTTGCTGGTCCAGGGACCACACTTTGAGAATCAATAGGTCTGAAGAAGGGAAAACAGGATACGCGCAAGGCCCAAATGGCCTCCAAGCTGTCCCAGGCTGCCCTCAGACATGCTGGAGCGCACCTGGAGGACATCTTCTGTGCATATCCATAAGAGAGTAGAAGTCCCTGGTTGTGCAGAAGTCTCGGGGCTGTTTTTGCACATCTACAAAAATGCCACCATGTAAGTGGTATGCAGTTACTTCCAGGTACCTGAAAGTTCCCGTGCAAGCCATTTTTAACAGTTTTCCAAATGAAACATTCAATTTCTAGGTATTGATTTTCTTGGGAAGTAATGGAAAGTAATGACCACCAGGGCAACACATCAAAACTTGCAACTATGGTATGATTTTGATAATTAAAAAATCAACTACAAAGTTATACAATTACTTTATGTGATAAATGGTGCAGAAATATGGATATTTAGCCTGGCTTTGAGCTGGCTTCAACTAGATACAGAATTTCCAGCTGGAAGAATATGGCTTACATCCCGTCCCATTATCCTGCCCTATCTCCAGGGTAGATAGGGCTAATGGATCCTCGCACTCCTTTCCAGTGAACCCAGGAAAATAAAACTGAGTTATTTTTACCCTACCTACAAGTATCATAAGATGATTCCATCAGCGAGTCCCTGTTGAAACGTTCTAATGATTTTAAATATAAACATCATTTTGCAACAGATATATTTATATCCTGGAAGACTTACCCCAATCTCTTTTAAATCTTTATCTTGTAGTAACTGAAGTGGATCAATAAAAGTTTGCTTTACATTAATATCAAGAGAGTCTTTCACCTCAGCCATTAGCTTCATGGATTCACCAACTTCTATCAATGCATTGCCTTGAATAGAAAACACAAATACAAAAGGTTCTTCAGGAGACTACTCCAGGTTAACAGTGCTATTTATTTCATTATTTACCAAAAGTCTGTGGATGATGGTGTAGCAAGGTCCTTGCTGCAGGGCCTCTGAATCCTGGATCAGAATGAAAAAGAAAAGGCAAGGCTTCCTATTTTCTGCGTTTTCCTCTCTATGTTCGGCACTTCGCCACCACAGCAAATACAGCTGAGGCGGGCAGACCGAAGTACTTACCATTTGGGCCACTAGATGGGGATAAAGATCCTTTTTAAAAAACTGGTACTTTGGGAAACTGGCACGGAGGGTTCCTTGGAAGCTCGAGAATAAATCTCTTTGTAAACAATGAAAAGATTCACTCATGGGACTAAGTGTTAACCAATAAAGATTACAATAGAAATAAACAAATAAAACATCTCAGCTTCTAGCTGTGAGATCTTCTCAAGGCTACTCCCTGTATCCTTCTAGAAGGTTCTAAGGCTCCCTGCCTTCTCTTGATGTCAAAGAAAGCCTGCTGATGTCACATGGGACATCCTGTCAGCAGGGTGGGGTGGGGGTCTGGTGGTGCACTGGGGCCCAGGCCAGCCTTTCTGGCTTGGATAGTGACAGGCAGTTTTTCCTGGATTACAGCATGGTACCTCAGTCCAGTCAATCTATAGTAATTTGCAAGAATATTGCAAACCAGGTGCCCTCTAGTTCTCTGTACAATGAGGGTTGCAGGGTCTCTAGAAAACATGCCTGGCAAACACTGGACTAGAATGAACTATTTTTCCTATATTTGGGGTTTTCCAAATTAATCTTGTAAAAAGATGGAGATTGAGGTTGCTCAATTTCTAGGCTTGAAGAAGATCTTAAAGCCCAGCCTAAATCTGACCTTTGAGTTGTTTCCCCCATCAGTCGAGGGCACGGATAACGTATTCCCCTGTAAAACAGAGATGGCGGCCGGGCGCGGTGGCTCACACCTGTAATCCCAGAACTTTGGGAGGCTGAGGTGGGCAGGTCATGAAGTCAGGAGTTTGAGCTCAGCCTGACTAACATGCTGAAACCCCATTTCTACTAAAAATACAGAACTTAGCTAGGTGTGGTGGTGTGTGCCTGTAATCCCAGCTACTGGGGAGGCTGAGGCAGGAGAATCGCTTGATCCTGGGAGGCAGAGGTTGCAGTGAGCTGAGATCGCACCACTGCACTCTAGCCTGGGTGACAGAGCAACACGCAGTAAAAAAACAAAACAAAATAAAAAAAAACAGAAACATACTAGATAGATAGGACCTTGCAAAACAGAAGTCGGAACCGTTACTCTAAACTAAGGCTTTCTCAGGACTCCATTCGGACCCAGTGGTAGCTTCATTCCTCCTTGGAAGCTAAATTTCCTTAGCTCAACTCTCCAAAGTGTGTTTCTAAATCATTCCTAAATGAAGACGAAATGTCCCTTCCTAGCCTGTGGACTCTTTTCCTGCCCAAATGGTGAGAAATGGTATTGCTTGACACCCCAATCCAGCCCCTCTGCCACCAGTGCCAATGCCTCACAATGTCAATGACAGAAATATTTTCATATGTTGGAGACTCCAAAGATGACACTCTGAGCAGAGGCCACCACCTCCCTAAATCTGACATTCCCTCTCCTTGTCCGAGACTGGTGCTGTCAAATTCCACACGGGTCTGGGGCTCAGCTTCCACCCACTGAGGTTTCTGCACTGTAGGAGGTCCTAGCATGTGGCCACCCAAAAGAAAACATCCAAAGGCACAGCCTCTTCCTTGGAACAACAGAAGTCTATGTGTTCTTGATGCCCTGCTGACATCAGTTCTCTTCCTTAACCCGAGTTCCTTTAGGTTGCTGGGCACCTGGGAAGCTACCAAACTGTCTGGCTGTCACTACGGCCAGGTGCACAGCAGGAACGTCCTTGGATTTCAGGGCCTGCCTGGCAGTCTCACCTGTCTCCTTCACTGATGTGCCTTCAGAGTAAGAAATAGGCCATCTCGTCCCCATTGGCCCTTGGAATGAAAATAAAATTCATATTATACTGCTCTAAGGGTTAATGTTACCCTTTGTCACTAATTAATGTTTGGATGCTTGAATTTTAAAATTTTTTTCAAAAGATATTTTTCTCCAATCTCCTAGAATGATTACTGTGGCCAAATATTTGATTTCTCAACTTCCATCTCCTGCCTTGTTACTACTACTTGAATAGCAAATATGCCAAATTCGTTTGGAATACCTAATACATTAAATCCAATTCATCCTCAATTTAATGTATTAATTTAAATGAATCTCAATCAAAATTTAATGACTTTTTTAAATAGCAGGGACTTAAGTTTCACCTGGAAAAATAAAACCAGTAAGTGTGTCTGTAAACTTTTTACAATAAAATACCTAAATTTTTAGTAAAATATATTAAAGTATGTTTTAAAACTTCAATGCTTAAAACAATATGACGCTGAATCAAAACAGGATATAGATCAATAAACAAAAGAGAAAGACCATAAACAAGCTTAATGTATAAAAATTTAGTCTATAATAAAAGAATCATTTCAAAACATCAGGAGAAAGTTGGACTTTTCCATAAAGTACTGGAACAAGCTATTTATTTGTCAGAAAACAAAATTAGAACCCGATTGCACTATAGCTCCAATAAATGCAGGAGCTTGGAAATTTAAAGTTAAGAAAAGAAAATCCAGGATTCAAAAACAAGCATAAATAAACATTTATAACCTTTGCCAGGGAGTGGAATGAAAAAGATTTTCTAAATATGATTCCAAAAAGCTAGAAACCATAAAGGAAGACTAAAGAGCTTCGCTAAATAAAAAACAAAAATCTCTCTCCATTGAAATGACCTTCATAAACAAGGTCCAGAGGTAAATGCTTACCTGGGACAAACTTCGTCAACATACAAGACAGTCAATGAGCAAATATCCTGACCATTTAAAGACTTCATGAGACAGGAAGGAAAGAAATTGACCTCCTAATGCAAAAGCAGGCCAAGGACACAAACACACAATTCACAAAACCAATGACAAACACACAAAATAACTCTACCTCACATGTGATCCAAAACGGCAATGAGATATCATTTTTATACACTACATATCAAATGATCGGTTATTTAAAAGTAAACTAGAAAGATAATCCCTGGGGTCAGGAACTGTATTGAGAAACATACTCTCACTCACTCCTGGCAACAGTGTCAAAAGGGTGGAACCCTTCTGAAGGGTGAGCTGTGAATATGCTTTCAAAACCTGAAAAATGAGCATGCTCTTGACTCAGGAATTTTATACTAGGCATTTTTTCTAAATTATGTCAAAGAATATCATTTTGGATATCCCCAAAGATCTACCTATGGAAATGGTTATTATAAATGCTACGTAAAATGTTTTTACATAAAGAAAAATTTATTTAGTAAATGAGATTGACTGAACAAACTATGACACACGGAATATTATGTAGCCGCTAAAAACAATATCATAGAAGATTATTTTATGATATGAATTATTTTATGATATGGATCATGATATAGTCAGTGTTACCAAAGAGTATATGTACTATGCCCTTATTGTCTTTTTTTTTTTTTTTTTTGAGACAGAGTCCTGCTCTGTCACCAGGTGCCAGGCTGGAGTGCACTGGTGTGATCTCGGCTCACTGCAACCTCTACCTCCTAGGTTCAAGCAATTCTCCTGCCCCAGCCTCCCAAGTAGCTGGTACTACAGGCATGTGCCACCATGCCAAGCTAATTTTTGTATTTGAGTAGAGATGGGATTTCACCATGTTGGCCAGGATGGTCTCGATCTCTTGACCTCATGATCCACCTGCCTCGGCCTCCCAAAGTGCTGGGATTACAGGTGTGAGCCACCGTGCCCGGCCTTATTGTCGTTTTTAAAAGTACATGTGAATACATATAATGAAAATAAACAAGGCATAAAAGATACACAACAGGCCAAGTGCTGTGGCTTACTCCTATAATCCCAGCGCTTTGGGAGGCCAAGGTGGGCAGCTTGCTTGAGGTTAGGAGTTCAAAACCAGCCTGGCATTATGGCGAAACCCTGTCTCTCTTAAAAATACAAAAAATTAACCAGGCATGGTGGCTTGAGCCTGTAATCTCAGCTACTCAGAAGGCTGAGGCACAAGAATTGTTTGAACCTGGAAGGCGGAGGTTGTAGTCAGCCAAGATCATGCCACTGTACTCCAGCGTGGGAAAAGACCTGGTCTCAAAAAAAAAAAAAAAAAGATACACAACAGAGTTTAATTAGGCCAATCAGTGGATATGGGATTACAGGTGATGTTAGTATTTTTCTTCATTTTACTTACCTATCTTTTCTAAACCTCCTGCCATTTAACATGTATTACTTTGGTAATGTGGAAAAATAACAAAGGTTGTTAAACTAAAGGGTTTGTGCATAACCTAAAAGCCTACTGGAGGAGTTCTCAGCTCCCCCAGGTGATCTCTGCATAACTCACCAAAGGTGGAGTCTTCCCCGAGCTCCTTCCCATATTTCAGCATACAGTCCCCCAGCAAGCCTTCTGTCTGCGGGTATCCCGTGGTCTTCACCTGCCCTCGGATCTTCGACACAGTGTTCAGCATTCCTAGCTTAGCTCTGTATGCTTAAAAACATTGTCATTTGTAATTCTTTAAAGTTACAAGATGGAGTGGCAGGTACATAGCATTTAACAAGCGCAGCTGCCAAAACTGAGATCACCTTAAACAAAATGCCAGCAACCCAAGGCCTGAAACGAACGTGTGTGAACTAGTTAATTTTCCCATGTAATTTTCTAGGTTCTTTACCAAGGTGGGTGGCTAAGTGCCCTGTTGCACAGCCATCATGAACCACAGAAATGATGGCGCACATTGCTGACTTCAAATAATAGTGACCCGGGCTTTTCTGAGCACCACCCCTCAAGTGAGACCCTTTGGAAAGCTTGCAATTGCTAACACGTGAAGTCAGACACTGACCCTATGTGACACCAACATGCTTTTTCTTTAAATGTAAACAAAAACAGAATTGCCGAGGAGGATGTTTCAAACAACCAACTGATCACTCTTTTGCTCTTCCCAAGGACTGATTCAGCCTAATGGTATTCAGAATTATGGGAGGCAGGTGCTGCTGTTTAGGAGGCAGAACCATAGGAAGAAACAGAACCCCCCCCCCACCACCCCTAGTGAACACTAGCCTTGTGTGGCTGGTCCCAGGTGCAGCTCAGCCCCTGCTCCCTAAGGAGGTGACGGGCATCACTGTCTTACCTTCTTTTACGTCCTCTGACTCAGGCAATGAGTATTTACTCATTGCTGCAACAACACACTTGCTTATTACTGGGACTCCAGAGACAGCCTTTGCTCTCAAGGAGCTCACAGTCTACTTCCCACTGTCGGAGGGGGATATGGGATGCAGAGGAATGTAGATGAGAGCTATTAAACTGGGTAAGAGGTTGCTAGGGCTGCCTCTTCTCTAGGAATAACTAGAGACCTCTGGCCAGTGGACACTTTTATTGCTGGCCAACACCTTCTTATCTCATTCAAGGGTCAGATGGTTGAGGGTGGAGTATCTGTCTGACTTCATAGTGTATTCCAGCACCCCAAAATCCTCTTGTGCAGAGAAAGCACTTATTAAATATTTGACTGACTGACATATCAGGAAAAGAAACTGGCATGGCTCATTTCAATCACTGAGCAGCCAGGGACAAGATACATTCTTATGGTTTTCAAAGCTATCATCAATGCAACTGTAATGAACCTGCCTGGATACATCTGATAAAATTTATATTCTTAAATTTTTACTTTCTCAATTTTCAAATGGTTAGGTTTGTGCTGATTCCTACAGCCAAGGGAATCACAGGAACTCCATGCAAATAATAAATTTCTAAAAAGGAAAGTCAGCTTCAGAAATCTACAGAACTCAAGGCTTAGGCGCCCTCTACTGGTTCCTATAATTTACAACTTGGGAAAACATCTAAGTCCCCAAGATGCTGCTTGGGGACCTAGAAACCCAGACCTTCTGTGGAGAAGCTGATGTGACACTCGACGCACACCATCTTTCATATTTACCACACCTTCTTTCTCCAGCATTTGAGCCATGAAGAGAACGCTCTTTCAAATTAACATATACTTCTATGTATATGGTACACAAAAGCAGAATTTAAAAAAAAAATTATAAAGAGGATATAAGGGAGTAAGAAAATATTTGCCAAATGTTTAGTGGCTTTCCGAAGTAACTCATAAAAGACCCTTGCCCAGCGCTGCCTTGTTGCTATGACCAGAACTCCATTCAGATGATGTCAACCGAAGTTCACAGAAATAGTTGTTCTGTTTCTCATCAGTAGGACTGAATGCAACTACCTTTGGTCACTAGAGACTCAGCTTTAAAAACTGAATTTCATTACTGGGACACAGAGGACATTGTTTCTAGATTATGTCAACTAAACACCAAGTAAACATGGGTTATTAGGGTCTGTGACAGCAAATAAACAAGAGAATATTTCAACTTTACCTGGATTTGGCTGAAGATATTCAGTGGTTTTTGAAAGAATTTCTGCAACAGCTTTATTGGTAACATCTATTTTCTTAAAAGCAAAATTTTTAAAACATTAGTAAATGACAAACTCAAAAAATTCACAGAAGAACAAACAGAGGAGTAATTTTAATTAATTTAATTCTTATAACACCACTATGATGATTTTATCCAAATGAATGTTTTCAACATTTTTGGGAGAGGCAACATTTTTTCAGTTTTTGATTTTGGAACATCACCTCCTTCCAGTGATGCTGGAGAACATTAATTTACTTTTCCTTTTAACATTAAAATGAATATTAAGGTAATATTTAGAAAATCTGCAAAAGTTATTATGCTCCATTAGATGATCAGATATACTTAGAAGTCTCTCAAAGCTAAGACTAGACATGAATCAAACTCTCCTTATCTGATAGGTGAACTTGAATTTCTATACTTATATAAGGATGCTATAATAATGATTCATATTGGCAACTAGCTCAGTAATCAACAATAAAAGAATCATAATCATTAATATTATAATACCATAAACATATTCATTTGTGCTATGGTCAGAAGATGTTAACATCAAAGTTCTCCCCAAACTTTCCCTGAAAGTTAACCCTTTCTAGTTAAGACTGAATCTTTCCTTGTGCAAAACCATTCCTGGACTTTGTGGTTGTTAGTTAACCAGAGAGCTAATATGGGAATAGACAATAAAATTAAAATGCAAGTTGCAATAGCTTTATTTATGCCATCAGTAGTCCAGGAGAAAATGTAAAGAAAAAGATATTATTCATAAAAGCAATAAAATGCAATAACAAGGAATAACTATTATGGGACATTCACAACACCTATTTGAAAAACCACATTCTTAGATGGGAAAACTCAATTTTGGAAAGATATGCATTCTCCCCAAATTAAGATGCAAAATTCATTCAAATCCCATCATAATTTCAACTTTTTTATTTTTTGTTACAATTTGGCAAATTGATAGTAAAGTGATTTTTCATATTATATACATGATTAAAAATATCAATCTAAAAAAAAAGACTATAAAATGACTAACATATAAAGGACAGTATTTTGAAACACTGGAGTAGGAAGAAACTTCTAACCAGAACCTGAAACTCAAATGTCATAAATAAAAAGACCAAAATTCTGACTCCATAAAAGCTTAACAACTGAACAGGAAAAGACACAGTACATGAAGTTTGACAAAAGTGGCCAATAAAAATATATAAAGACAAAGGGTTAGTATCTCTAATATTCAAAATTCCCATTTAAACAAACAAGAAAGAAGGAAAAGGCCAGGCAAGGTGGCACACACCTTTAATCTCAGCACTTTGGGAGATTGAGGTGGGTGGGTCACTTGAGGTCAAGACCAGGTTGGCAGGTGACTATAACCTCAGCTACTCGAGAGGCTGAGGTGGGAGAATTGCTTGAACCCAGGAGGCGGAGGTTGCAGTGAGCCGAGATTGTGCCACTGCACTCCAGCCTGGGCAACAGAGCAAGAGGAAAAACACAAGCTACCTACAAAGATTTGAAAAAATATTCACAACTGTAAATAAAAAGAAGATATTTTACACTCTCCATATTGTTAAAACATTTTAAAAATCAATTATACCCAATATCAGGTATTATATGGGTATGGAGTAATGGGTCATTTCATATACAACAGGAATGCAAAAGGATAGGTTTTGGAGATCAAGGCAGAAGTTCTTATTAATAGGCATATTAATGAGCCAGCTATTATATTTCTAAGGATTTATCCTTTTAGAAACACATCAGCAAATTGCAGTGAAGGGAAAAACATGTTCATTAGGCCATTTTATGTAATACTGAAAATGGAAATCAATAGGAGACTGAATGGATAAATTATGAAACATCCAAGTAAAGGAATACTCTTTAATCATAAGGAAAAAAAATAAGGAAGATCGATATTCAAAGTACATTGCTAAGGAAGAAAGCAAGCTGCGGGGCCATTTATAATAAAGACATCATTTTTGTAATTTAGAAAACTATGATCTGGCCAGGGTCACAAGTTTGCAACAAAGCAATCTTGTCCACCCTGAAATGGTATTTGTTCCCCTTAGCTAAATACATTAATTTTGGCTAAATACATTAATTTGGAGCCCCAGGAAAGTTTTAAAAGACAGTACAGAAATGATAAAGAAAAATAAAAAGGAGTCAAACCTGTATTACTGATAGTCGTGTGCTGTGTGTGCAAGTGGGCATGTGTGTGTGCGTTTGGCCTAGTAACAAGTTTTGTGACTTTGAGCTTTCTTTGGTGTGTTCAGCTGTTTGCCAAGATCTTTGAAATATTTAAGAGAATCCAATAACCTAAATGTTTACGTCTTAATTAGAGTTACAAGAAATATAACGGCTTAGGAAAATACTGTTATAGATTTGATGTGAAGTTGGAGGAATCCTACACATTGCCTTTACGATTATAGTTTGAAATGTCTAAGAGAATTTGCTTAATTATATAACGGGTGGTAAATATTTAAGGATTGAAACTGTTAAGCTTATGGGTTAATTAACGCAACCTCAAATGAAAATTAACTATAAGATTATCATAGCAAAAGTACTAAATTTGGAAATAAGATTCATAAGTTCAGCTTAAAGCTTAAGAAGAATGAGGATTTCAGATTTAATTAATATCTAATTTGTTACATTGTGAAACAAAACTTAGGGTGTTCCCTTTGATATATACAACCCTTTTGGACATGAAAAGTCACCAGAAAGCTAAGGGTCACCTCGGAATAATGATGATGATGATGAGAGAATTAGAGTGGGGGCATTTTCTACTTCAGATGTTTTTATAACTTTTGAAATAAAAAAGCCCAAGAAACAAATGACCAAAAACTTACAAGTCCTCATAGGCCCTGGCATGGACATGCTGGGGCTGCCACCCACCAGCCCAAGCATCAAAGCTAGAAATAAACCGTTTACAAACTGAAGAGTAAACATGTTGGCTAATGTGGACAGTCAAGATGAGCATCAAAAAACAACAACAACAAAACAAACAAAAACTCATGCAGCTTAACAAACAAAATCTCCCTCGAGAATAACCAGGGACACTAGTGTGTGTGTGTGTGTATGTGTGTGTGTGTGTGTGTGTGTGTGTTCAAGTCAACAAAATGCTATGCAACTATCTTGCCAAACCATTAAGAAAAACAGAGAAAAGCAGAAAGGTGAAAATTATTTTTGTGAAGTCAACCTGGTATGGAGGCATCCTGGTTAGTTAAGTCTGGAATTTCTGTTTAATGCTGGCACCCTGCCCATGAGGCGTCCAAAGCCTGTGCCACTGACTCCCTTAGGCCCAGCCCCTGCGTGAGAGAGCTGCTAGCACCTCTCATTTCTGATGCTTATTTATGGTATTCTCTTTAAAAAAAAATACTATCAGTGGGCATATCCCCTTTCTTCTTCCCTAAGTAATTTGTGTTTTTCCTTTTTCTCCCTCTTGGTCAAACTTGGTAGAGGTTTTTCAGGTTTTCGAAAGCTCTTGGTTTTATTGTTTCTATCTTTTTGTGGTTGTTTTCTATTTTATTAATCTGTCTTTAATTTATATAGATTTCTGTCTTCTACCTAGAGTAATTTAATTTGCTGTTATTTTCCTCGCTTCTTGGATTGCATGATTTATTCATTTTCTCCCCAACATTTATTTTCTTTAAATACATTTAAAATTTAGCCACATATTACAGGTTTTGACATACAGAATTGCCACTGGTGCCTAAATAATGTCATTTTACTTTCCATTTGCTCTTTAAACTAAGAATTATTTTTATATATTTTTAAATTTCCAAAGCTATACCTTCCCTTATAATTCTTGTGTTCTATAGTATCACTTTGGAAAATTTTATTGAGTTTTTTTTCTGTAACCTAGTACATAATTCATTACTTTATTTGTTCCAAAGAAATTTGAAAAAAAAATGCACATTATCCATTTGGGGGATGCAGATATTTATATTTTTTTATAATCAAAGTTATTAATCATATTCAATGCAAATCCTCCATGAGTCTATTGATTATTGTCAGTTTAATCTATTTTATGAGAGAGGTATGTGAAGTCTACAGTACTTCTATTTTTAACAACTATCCATGTATTTCTCACAGCTCCTACCTTACAAATTCAGATGCTATGTTATGTAGTGCAGAATGGTTCAAAACTATTATAATTTCCTGATAGACTACATTGACTGTATCTTTTTATAATTAAAAAGCTTTTTTCATTTAGTGCTTCTCTTGCATCAAATTTTATTTTGATTTTACTATTGTTCCTCTATTTTTATATGGTTAACATTTATTATAGAATATATTTTCCTATTACTTTCTCATTTCTGTATCATGTTTTACGTGGGTCTAATACTATCTAATGCATCACTCCTGGGAGGTTTTTAAAACTTCTGGTCATGTATTATATGTTTCCATGCTTTTCAATGCTGTAATAAAACAGATAATAGACTTTATATTTTTTTCTGTAACTCACTGGGGTTTTTAGAGGGAAAAGGAGGTAAGCAAGAAGGATCTCAATCCATCAACTGACACTAAAACTCTTGAAAAATGCTTTCAAATTTAACATTTCAACTGGATCATTTTGTTAGTAACAAAGCTACACATCACATCTTTGTATGTTAGGACTTTCTTAAGTAATTTAAAGTATGTTAATGGTGTGAACATGTTTCTATGGATTTAAGATTCAGAAATTAAGTCTTTTTCAAAAGCAAAAACAAAATAAGCTTTTCCTCTTCAAGGCATTAACATTTCTAGACACTTAATAGCTCTCATCCAGAAAACAGAGAACTCCCTGGAAGATGAGCTGGCCAGAGCCAAGGTATCCTGATGAGATACTCTCCCAGGCTGTACACAGCCTGGGGCTGAACTTCCTTCCCCAGCACCTGTTGACTTCTCTGCTACCTGCCTTGATGTTGCACCTGAGGGTGGATGCCTTGCTTCATTTCCTCCCTCTCTCCTCTGGGAGGGTCTAATTATTAAAACAAGGCTATGTTTAAAATGCCCAGACAATGAGGAAAGAAACAGTATCTTGTTAATGCTGGTGGTTCTAGGTCTACCTGCACATCAGCAACTCCACACAGCTGACTGGGAAACATGTTAAGAGACAGAGATGATACCATTTTTCTGTTCCAAGCCAGTCATATTTTTTCTAAGTTATTTCAAATACGTTAATGTTTGCATTATTCTCACAACATCCACGTGAGGCAAGCAGGGCACACTTATCATCCCTGCATCAGTTCAAAAAGATAAATTAACTTATCCAAGTTCACACCGCTAGTTCTAATGGCAGAACCAGGAGAAAAGTTATTTATTATGCAGCTCCTGCAACACATAGGAACAGAGCCTCAGTCTTCCACATGGTGAATAAATCATTATGCATTTGAAAAACTTGTTCCAGAAACACATTTTGATTATCCAAAACATGCACTACCAATTACTTTGGCCTTGCAATTACTGCCAAGATTGCCCATCTTTTGCACATTCTGACTTCTGGCCACTAGAGGGAACCAGTTAGCTACCTCGATCTCACTCCACTTGCCCAGGCTAGATGTGGCTACAGGGGGAGGATCTGATTTGGGCTGGGATGTCAGAAAGCACTGCCTTGTGGATTGCATAATCCACATCTATATTTAAACATCCTAGATTTCCACTCGAATATTCTTTACAATAGCAGTATATCTCATATAACAATGAAAGTCAGTTTCTAATCAATTTACATATTAAAATGCTCTCTTACCCTTTCCATGTCAAGAAATTCATCGTCTAGTTTAGTTCCTTCAGCACCACTTATTTTTTCACTAAACAGCTGCAGAAATAAACATAAATAATTGCGTTGTACAATGATTTATCACAGTTTTTGACCTAAATTATTAAAAACAAAAACAGAAACAAAAAAAAACTTGGATTCAACTTGTTGGATTTTTTTGAACTAAGTCCTTTAAGAAAATTGTTGGACCCCCGGGGTGACCATATCTAAAGGCATAGGAAGACATACATTTCTCATGCAGTCGATAGATGTTTATTATGCACCTACTGTATGTAAAACACATGGTAAGTGCTGTAAGACAAAGACAAGAGAGATACTTGTCATCAAGAAATACAGTTCAGCCAAAGAGTCAACACACAAACATTCAACTAAAAAACAAGGAAGGAACAATAAGAATCACTGAAAACTAACAGTGCTAGATACAAATTATTGTAAATGCATTAAGTGGTAGGCATTTCAGTGATGCACAGAGTGAACTCTGAGAGTCCACAGCACTGGGAGTGGGTTCATGCAGGATCTGTTTTCTAGAAGATGTGGCATTTGAGCTGGCTTTTTAAGGACAGGGAACATTTCATCGGGCAGCACTGAAGGCAAGGCCTTCTGGGATGAGGGGCCATGAACAAAAAGAGCCAGAGGCAGGAATGGATAGGACAGGTTTTCTCAGCCTCAGCTCTACTGATATTTATAGCAGATAATTCTCTGTTGTGGGGGCTGTCCTGTGCACTGCAAGATGTTTAGCAGCAGCCCCGTCTCTACTTGCTAAAGGCTAGTACTGCATGCATGGACACACACACACACACACACACGGACACACACACACACACACACACAGTTGTAACAACCAAAAATGTTGCCCAAGAGCTGAGGACAATTTGTATACGGCCAATGTGTTCAAAAGACAGCAATAAATGGTGTTTAACTGTGAAAACTAGTGCAAGGGAGAATGGAGGAAAATAAAATCTGAAAGTTAGGCAACGCCCAGAGCATACAGATTCTCAAATGCCAAGCTAAAGGGTATGAGTGAGAGATCCCTAAAGAGTCTTCATCAAACACAGTTAGAGAAACCCTTTAGAAAAGTAAGTCTGGCACCAGTTCAGTTGGATTAAACAACGAGGAAGACAAACTGGAAGAAGAAAATATGTTTAGTCATTTTCTTTAGAAAAATACATTAACATCTGTTTATGCCTTTAAAATAGTAATATGAATATGCGAATCCATAGTAAGGGAGGTGCCGTCAATTAATGGTGAAAAGACTGCAGGTTGTTTTAAACGCAAGTGTAGTAACTACTACTGTTACACACGCTGTATTACAATTTGATAGGAAGAATCTAAGTGGAGACAGTATTTAACTTAAATTTGAAGTGTGAGGAGGAATTTCTTGAAGAGAACAGATATAGAAAACTATGAAATGGCCATGGTTCTCCATCCTCCCTGTCCTGAGTCTCTGCAGTTCCTCCCAGCTAGAGCTGGAGTCTATCTCCCTACCTAGTGAATCTGGGCTGGGCTTGTGACTTGTTTTGACCCCATAGAAACAAGCCTTGCTAGGCAATAATAGATATTGTGTGCTTCCACCCACTCTCTTGAAACACCGTTGTTACCCTGTGAATAAGCCCAGACTAATTTACTGAATGGAGAGAAACAAGTGGCCCAGACACCCAGCAAGGAGACAACCAGTCCATCCCCAGAATCCCCAGCTGCGACCAGCCCCACCTGATGAGGCACAGAAACAGGAGTCCAATAAACAGTGTTGCTTTAAACCACTGAATTTTGGGGTGGTTTGCCACATAACAGAAGTTATCTGGTACACTAGACAAGAATCCTTACTTTTCAGGCTGAGTACAAAAGTCAGACTTACCCTAATGCCTTGATACAAGGCATAACTTTCAATAGGAAAATTCAAAAATCTCATTTCCACACACCAAGCAGTGTTGTGACAGATGTATCCATCAGTTACCTCTCCTAAACATTTTCGTTGTTGATCAGTAGTGAAATCATTGAACATATTGATTCTCAACTTTGAAGATAATAGTCTGAGAATCTAAGGAAAGTTACACAATCTCTCCTGGGGTAGGGAGTGGGGCTTCCACATTTTGTTGCCATGGTAGATGGCAAAAGTGGCCACAGGTTTTGCAGCTCCGCCTATTAAGAAGTTAAATCTATCTTTCCACCCTGCGACTTCCTTGGGTGGATAGAAGAGTGTAAACCACACTGTATAGCTATAAAGTCCCAATTAGTACTTACCAAGAGGCTCTACAGATACTTCTGCTCCCTCTCTGGGGTCCACTGTCACCATTTCCACCTGACTAAGTCTGGGCTGTCTTGTTGGAGAATAAAAGACCACGTGGATCAGAGATCAGCCATCGCACCTGAGCAACCTAGGACCATCAAGCCATCAGCTCACCTGGCAGCTGACCAGCAACAGGTGAGTGAGCCCAGCAGAGAACAGCCACACCAGCCCATCCAATCAGTACCCCCAGCCCAAATTGCTGACCCACAGGATCATAAACTAAATGAACATTTTTTGTCTTAAGTCGCTGTGTTTTGGGATGGTGTGTTATATAGCAAAAGCTGACTGATACAGTGGGCTGCCATTTCCTATTAACTGCTGAAACCACAGAAGCCCACATGTAGATTCACATTTTAAAATAACCATTTGAAAATCCCTTTGGCTTGGAGAGTTGGACCTGAAATCTCTTTAACTCGAACCAGTTCTCACTTGTTCAGGTTTTACTTGTTCTATTTTCAGAAAGCAAAATGTCTAATAGAAGGAGTAATGTTTCTACTTTCAAGAACAGAAACTAGTGACATGAATATATCTTGTTTGAAAAGACAACATACAGGATCATTTTCAATAGGAGTCACAGGCAAGAGTCATATCATTCCTTTCTGCTGTTCTTGAATTTCCCAGTGATGTTAGCTGTTTGATACCGTAAGTATAAATACAGATATAGCATTAGCTGTTTAAGCCACTCAATTATATTTCAGAGGTCAATGAACAAATATTGTTTGTTGAGCATCTACTATGTGCAGGGACATGACAGGTACTTTTGATAGAAAGATAAAAAAGATAGACATGATTCCTACAAGGCACCTGGCCTCATTCCAGGGTTACAGGGTTATTTAGGTGCTGGAAGCTAAATATAAATACTCAAGCTTCTACTTCTGGTGAAAATGACTAATTAAATTCAACTCTGATGCACTCCCCATGCTCTGAACACACAGCAAGGACAGATTAAATACCAAAGTATGCACTCCCTATGCTTTGAATACATAGCAAGGATAGACTAAATATCAAAAAAAAAAGAAAACCAGAAAGATAAGCAATGCTCAAAAACAGAATAAACATTTTTGTGAACCTGAAAATGAATAGAAACACAATGTGATGAACAAGGTTGAAGCCTCGGGCCTGCTGGGCTTCTTGCTCGCACATAGGCTGTAAGAGCCAGCAGTCTGGTTCCTGCTGAGTGCAGAGGGATCTAAAAGCGCTCCATGAGACCACAGTCTGTGTTCAAGTTCTGCTTACAGCTGGGGGTGGAAAAGCAAATAAGGCTGGAAAAACATATTCAGATGCAAACCCCTGTCTGATGCTACCGCATGTGGCAATCTGCAGGCCCAAGGAGACTGAAGAACAAAGAATCAGTCAAATTATACTCCCTCCCCCAAGCCCCAGCTCTGTGGCTGGATCCAGATATCCCCAATATCACCAAAGAACAGAAACCACGGTTCTGTACTGGGGCCTTGGGAAGCTGAGTGGAAAAAGCCACAAACACTAGACAGATGTGAGCACAAAAGAGGTTAAAAGAGAAGTTAAAAGTGACAAAAAGACACTCCCCACAAAATTAAACTTCATCCTAGATCTAAATTCTAAGGCACATGAATAAAATATAACACCAAGAAAGACAGTCAACAAAATTACGTAACGTGAATTCACTTCTAGTGAAAATAATTTTATGAAACAATATAATAAAGACTTTCTAATGTGTTTAAGATATTTTTAAAATGATAAAGGAATAACTTCTATTAATGAAGAGTAAGCAATTATACAAAAGAACAAAAATGTTAAAGACAGATATAAAACATTAGAAACAAAAAGCATTATATAGTCATAAAAATGAAAAACCCAATAGATGGGACAAACTCCAGCCTGGGCACAATCAGGAGAGAACTGGTAAGCTAGAAAATATTAAGGAACTTACTCAAGGAACATAAAATAAACAGAGACAAATAGTTTTTTTTAAATAAAATATCAGTTAATCAATAAGAAGGATAAGTGAGAGATTCCAAGATATATCCAACAGGCACTCCAGAAAAAAGGACAGAATACAGGAGAATCAATATTTAAGAGTAAAATGGCTCTTTTCTCTCCTGTAACTGAAGGAAGATAGGAGTCTACAGTTTGGAAGTACACTCAAGTGCCATGCAAGATGAGTATTAACTCACACCTAGATACAGCAAAATCTTAACAATAAACAATCCTAAAACTATCACAGGGGAAAAAAAATCCAAAGTGATAATAAGATTGACAGCAGATTTCTCTTCTACAACAGCAGATGCCAGAGAACAACGAAGGGATGGCTTCAAAGTGCTAAGAAGAAATCAGCTGGGTATGGTGGTTTATGCCTGTAATCCCAGCATTTTGGGAGGCCAAGGTGGGTGGATCACCTTGAGGTCAGGAGTTCAAGACCAGCCTGGCCAACGTGGCGAAACCCTGTCTCTACTAATATACAAAAATTAGTCGTGTGTGGTGGCACAATGAAAACCTAGAATTTTCTTGTCTCCTTAAACTGCTGTTTAAGAGCAATGCCAGGTGTCACGGCTCGAGCCTGTAATCCCAACAGTTTGGGAGGCTGAGGCAGGAAGATCACCTGAGGTCAGGAGTTTGAGCCCAGCCTGACCAACATGGAGAAACCCCATCTCTACTAAAAAAACAAAATTAGCTGGGCATGGTGGTGCATGCCTATAATCCCAGCTACTCAGGAGGCTGAGGCAGGAGAATTGCTTGGACCTGGGAGGCGGATGTTGCAGTGAGCCAAGATTGC